GATTGCCTCCAGTAGAGGGTTCCTTGCTCCGCTCGGAGCTCGGCTCCCCCTGATGCATCATTGCACCCAGACCAGGAGCCCGGGTCCGCTATCGCTCCCGGACCCCCGCACCCGGGCTCCGCCTTTCTCCCGCCGCTCAGGCCCGCTATTGCCCCCCCGGCTACGGGGCTTCGCCTCTATCCTGATTCTCGGCGCCCAGCCCGCTATCGCTACCGGCCCCCAGGATTCGCCTTCCTCCCGATGCCCACATACGATATTGTCCTTGGCTCTAGGCGTCGGGGCTTCGCCTCTTGCCCGTTTATTGGTGCTCGGGCTCGCTATCGCTCCTGGCCCCCAGGCCTGTTATTGCCCTTAGTGCCTGACTATCGCTCCTAGTCCCCAGCACCAGGCTCTGCCCTCCTTTCATTGCCCGTTCCCGTTGTTGCCCCCAGTGCCGGGATCAGGCTTTGTCTTCCTCCCGTCTCTTGGGCCCGTTATTTCCCCCGGCGCCTCAACCCAATATCTCTTCCGGCTCCCGGCACCCAGATCCACAAGTACTCCCCCACTTGGATTCATTGCTTGTACTCCCACCTGCACATGTGTCATGCACTCTCCTCAATCTTTCTCCATATGGCATGAGTGTTCTCATTAGGCAAATACATGTTTGACATGTGTACAACCATGTGCCAGGTGCAGATAGGCATAGACAACACATGTCCAGGGACGTGTCTGTTTTCATCTCGGGCGTCGACACCTGACCACCTTTTGTGCCCCAAGTAGACACTATATAACCAACTCATGATCTCTTGAGGAAGGGAAGGCAAGAGACCGGGGAAAATACCTTGAGAGCGCTCGCTGCAATCAGTGACTCTCATCTCTCGGGCTCACCTCCTGCAAACACCTTATGAACTATTTGATCCCCCGCACTAGAGACTAACTTGAGCATTGGAGGATACCCCTGCCGAGATCGCCCGGCCGACCAATTTTTGCAGGAAGCGATCAAAGGCAACGTCATGGAAGAAGGTTACAATAAATGGGCACTTCAAATCGCTTCGGGGCCCAAGGTCGACTGATTCGGGCCTAATTGTACATGTTTGCCCCCGTTTTACTTAGATGTCTGTGCCAAATTCGCTCCTTAAAGGTCGGTTTTACGCTAGGTTTTTCGTGTTTGAGTGTGTTTCAGGATTTAACAGGTGAAACCAGCCTCAGAGTCAAAAGATTGGCGAAAAGGATCGAAAATCGGGAGAAGAGGTGAAAAAGCGTCAGTTCACGGTTCACTGAAGGAGTTCACGGTCATGCAAGACCGTGAAGAAGGAGACTTGACCGTGAATCGTGAGGCGTCTAGAGCCAATGTGAAGGTTACTGACGCAAGGTGAGTTCACAGTCACTAAGACTATGAACACAAAAAGTTGCCCGTGAACTGACATGAGCGATGCAGAGTGTTTTGGCACACGCCTTGAGTTCACGGACGCGTTTGATGGTTCACGACCGTGAACTTAGCTCTTCTCGGGTTTAAAAGTTGAGCTGTAAGGAGGATAGAGGGGAGAGCCCACTTTTGTGAGAAACACATTCTTGAGCATTCTAGTGAGAGAAACATAACCAAAGGGAAGAAGAAGGTTAGGGTTTGGCTTCAAGGCAGAGTTTAGGGAAGATTTCCTCAAGGAAAGCTCAACTCAAGGGTAAAGAAGAGAGGAGGCATCCCCAAAGATGGTTTCCACCTTTTTCCCTTTTGTTCTTCCCAGTTCTACCATGGAGTAGACCTCCTTTCACTTGGGTGTAGTGAAACCCTAACTCTACCATGTAGTTTTCTTGTATGTGGTTTGGATGATTGTTATTGGGTATTGTTCAATTCAATGTTTGAGGCATTATTCACCATGATTGTGCATGCTTGTGATTAGCAACTTAGGGGTTGTGCATGTTTTGTGCTTAGCATCCTAGGGATTGTGCATAATTGTGCTTAGCACCCCTAAGTTTGTGCATTTAGGTGCTAGTAATCTAATTTGCCACCTTAGCCTAGTTTGGAGAGGAAAATCTCCCTTTCAAGGGAGACTCAATCGAGTTGGTTTTCCTTCCGCTTTCTAAGCCACCTAAACTAGGTTGAGTTAGGGCAACCCTCAATATTGAATTAAACAAGTCGATTAATCGTGGTTAAACCGTCCGACCTTCGAGTTGAGTGAGGAAGTAAGTCGATTACCGATTGTCTAAACTGAGAGGGTCGAGTGACACGGCATTTCATCCTCACCTCGGTTTAGCAATTGAGACTGTGGTCTCCGACCACATACTCTTTCCTCTGCGGTTCACGATTAACGTGCCCAAGGCAATCTTTACAATCCACATAGCATGGTAGCGGTTAGGGGGAAGCGAAACCCGAGTGACTTTCCCACAAAAGAGTTTTCAAACCCAATCACCTTTGTTTTCTTTTACTGCAATTAGCAAACCTTTTAAACAAAAGTTTAGTTGCTAGATAATGATTACAACAATGGAAGTAGGGATAGACGGACCGGCTCGGGTCGATATCTAAATACTTGTCATATACTGCACCCGATTAGAGTTTAAAAACTTGGGCTCTAATTGGAGTTTAATTGTGGTGTAGTTTCGTGTGAGTCATCGACGTCCTACAACCCCGACATCAACAACATCGTATCCCTTAAAGTCAACATGTCCACAATTATATGATCAGAAATGAAATCATATCTATTGCCTCTGTTGCTACCACACCACCAGATGGATCATGCAAAACCCAGCCCCCAATGATGACACTCATTTATAGTGTTTATCACTATCATATTTGACACATTTTCCCCTTCTATTTTCTTTCTCTTGGATTCCTTATTTGATTGTAACTATTTGATCAATGAGCCTTTAGTAGACTTAGGATGAGCCCATAAGAAATTATCCTCTAGTGATACCCCTTTGATGTTATACTAGTATAGAGGGAATGATCAATCATTTATACATCAAGTAGTATCCATGCTTGGTTGTTACAACATTGATGCTATAAACCATCGATTATGACTCAAGAGGCTCACACTTAATCATGTATTGTCTTAACTTCCTTGTTTTTCATTAATTAGGTGATGGCATGAAGCGAAAACACGCATTAGGTAATTAAATCTTAGTCAACCACCCCCTCATTGAGGACCAGTTCTCGCTCTCTATGCAATGCATACGCAAGATGATACCAAATTTTATCGATTAAGCTCATGTAGTCTCACCAACCCGGATGATCCGATTATGAACTGGGTTAATTGGCAGGGGAATGGCCGCAATCACCCACACTGTATTTTCCTCAAAACTTTGGCAGAGACTGTCGAGACACCAACATCCTTGCAGTGGCCGAATCAAAGTGGCAACCGACCCTTGCACCCCCACAATACCTAGACAAGCATGTGGAGGATGAGGATGCGAAGCCTGGACCCAGTTATCTCTAAGTACATCCACCATCGCACCAGAGCCCACATGCCAACACAAACCCTATCGCTAGTAAATCTCGGCCATGCGAGATACCATGCTAACCCCAAGGAACAATGAGTCAGAATTTTCCTATAACAATGATGAGTTAGGGAAATATTTTCCTTTCAAAAGTCGAGCCACCAAAGACTCGGGTTCCTTCCAAATGCGCCAGGAAACTTTTGCCAGAAGGGTCTGGTTGAATTCTTAAAAAGGACGGAACCTCATTCCCCCCTTCTGCTTACTCATACAAAGAGCTTTTCATGCAACCCAGTGTATTCTCCTTTCCCGTGCTACATACCGCACCAAAACCTTGACAAATGTCTTTTCATTGTTCGGCATAGCAATAGTGACACTAGAAAGCAAGACATAATATACACCGGCAAAGCATTAACTACTGATTTGATGAGCTCCTTACCCGTCAAAGACAGACGTTGTTGCTTCCCGACCTTAAGTTTACTCAGTACCCGCTCCTCAATATACCTAAATGTTTCCCACTTTGATCTCCCCACCAAGGAAGGAACGCCAAATATGGATCAGTGACTCCGATCGCACCTAACCCCAAAATACAAGGCATCTCAATGCCCTCAACTGAGATTACATTCTTGCTAAAGCACATTGCTGACTTATTCAAGTTGACATTTTGTCCATTGCACATCTCGTAAAGTCCTAAAAGTTCCCCGAGAGCTTCACATTCCTTAGGAGAAGCATGAAGGAAGAGCTACGAGTCATTCGCAAAAAACATATGAGAAATCACCGAACATCGGAGGCTTATGCACAACCATGTAAGGGAGTGGCTTTCCAAAGATTAGTGAATTATAAAAGCGAAGCCCTCTGTGGATAGAGCAAACATAAGGGGTGTTAGTAGATCTCCTTGCCTCGGGCCTCGAGATTCTTGAAAGTAACCTGTCGGACGTCCATTCATCATGAAAGGACACAAAACTAACTCAAAAACCCTTGTAGGAAAAACACGTACAATACTAATAAGGAAAACAACACTAAACTTACTAAAAAACCCTTCCCGAACTTAGCTTCCAACTCAGTTGCTTGCTACCTAAGTAGCTAGCTTCCTGTGCATGTAACAAGAACTACTTCCATACCAACTTCAGGCTCTTTGTTCGAACTCCTCCAAATTGAGTCGAGCTCAACCAATTCCTTCACACTCTTCAGCAAGACATGGACTTTCAATTCCAACTGATAGCTGCCCTCGAATGTCCCTCAAACAGTTCGAATAAGCCTCCAAAGATGGCACCTTGAAACTGTTACCATACTTGGCTAAAATTACAGTTTGCAAAACCCCTTATTCCCTTGCCTTCATTGATTCTTTGAGCTTCAATTTGATTGCGCTTGGATTAGATTTGCGGCTTGCATCATTGTCCCTAAATATTAACTTGTTTTTTCTGGTTCCAGTATTCAGTTTTGTGTTAAAGCAACGTTAGAACTCTTTCCGTCCAGTATTCAATTTTGTGTTAAAGCAACATTAGAACTGGGCTGAGTCTATTTGTAATTAGAAATTTAGAATGTGAAAAGATCCTCCCACTCCTGAATCTGATTCATACACTTGGTTTCATATTCTGGTATGGCCGGCTAAGCACCAAGATTCTACTGCCATATTGGCTACTGCAAATTAATATCGAGCTTCATTCCACACTAACTTACTAGAAGGTAATGGAAGACAGGTTACAACAGAGGTTTCGTTACTAGCAAACAACTAGAATTAATAGATGAAAGCAGGTTTCATTACCAGTCCCAACTCTCCAAGATATTTCTACGAAGACATTATTCAAATTAGTGAAAGTGTTTATGAGACACAGGTCCTCAATATTGGTTCTCAAAACTGTGCTTGTGCCACACTAGATAGCTGTGTCAGTGTTTCTTTCTACCCTTACCCTTCTTCTTCCCGTGCTTCTTCTTTCCTCCACCACCTCCATTCTTTTGTTTCCTCTCTCTATCCATCATAGAGGAGTCCGGGATGCAGCTTTCAGATAGACCGCCTGACTTCACCAAATGCTTCACATCCAGCACACCGTTCTTGAAAAACCCTTCTGTGGATCTAAGTACCCTGCTCTCTTGTTTTCGCTTCCCTCCAAAAGTACGAGCACCACCACCACGCTTACCACTGAACCTGCCGAGAGCCATCTCCTGAGACACAGGACGGATAACATACATGAGATCCAATTATAGCTGAATGAATGTATGGTTGTGACTAATAATTTAGACCAAGAAACAAATCACCTCTTGGAGCAATTTTTGTTCTCTTTCTTTCTGATTCTTCATTTGTACTCGAGCCACGCTTAAAGGAAGCCTTTGCTTCTTGGCAGGCTGTGTTCATGGCATGGCAGGCATCATCCATAGCAGAACATTAGAGGGGTGCTCCCGAATATACATACAGCTATATAGGAAAAAGAAGAGTGATTTTACCTTCCCACCAAGTTCAACTGCCTTCTGGTTCTCCATTTGCTTCCTTTCTTTCCATGTAAATGCACCTATACACAGATCATATATAAGAAGCAGCGTTACAAGGTGCAGCAAGAAGCTTCACAATCGCTTTAGAAGCCCCAAAAGCTACAGAAAATGTCAGACTCCGTGATGACATTAGTGGGATTCAGAATGGAAGTAAACCTAAAACGATGATGCGATCTCATTTGTAGCCAACATCCCGTGGCTGTAAGGAACTTATCGAGAAACCCTAATATGAATCCCTATAGAAATAGAGTCGTCAGGTTTCTCGTCCTCGAAAAGAATTCCGATGGTCCCGCGGTACTAAGATCTCAACGCTGCTGAATAGAAAACAATTCAATTCTGAAGCTACTACAACACACCAAATTCTTACAACCCTAGAGGAGCTGCGAGCAATAAACCATGGAACTGACCATAAACCAGGATCGAGCAATAAGAACCGAAATCGGGAGCTTGGAAGAGAGTAGAAGAAGTACCGAAAAGCGTGACATCTTTCATAATCTGCTTGAAGCTCAGTACATGGGACTCTGAATCGGCGTCAGCGTCGGCACCGGCATCTTTATCACCGCCACTGCGGCGAGTTTGGTCTCTCCGATTCTTCATTCTCTTCAATACGTTGCGGCCCGGTTTCGCGGTTTGAAATTAGCACTACACGAGAGAGAGAGACTGCTGGATGGAACGTAAACGTAGCCTGCCGCTGCCTGCTAGGTTTTAGGAAGCCTTCCTTCCGCCTTTGCCTGTGTGCGTATGTTTCTTCCTGCTCAGCCGAACCAAACAACTGGAGAAGAGGAAAAAGCATTACTGGGCCTGCGCACCGTTTGTGATGAGTGGGCTTTTAGAACGCAAACCAGCCGACCAATAATTTTTGGCCGCACTAAAAAGTGACCGAACTTGAACTGTGATTTTTTTCATTTTTTATAATTATAATTTTTTGTGATAATGATGTGTAATTACTAAAAATTTTAATTTTCTTTTTAATTATTTTTTATTTGCCACGTCACACATTTAACAGTCAACTGTCAGAGTTGACCGCCACGTCAGTCAAAGTTAACGGAAGTTAACGGAGACTGACCGAACTTGAACTGTTCAACTAATTCGAGTGACTATAAATGGAATAAACTAATTTGAGTGGCAAACGTGAAATTTTATAGCAATTCGAGTGATCAAACTTGCAATTAAGCCTATTATTATCCTAAAACGTAACAAATTGGCATAAACCCTCAATTAAAGTCCACAGATCTGCACAAGAGTTCTGGCCGCCAATTGGGCTTCTGACTTTCCCGCTCTGTCTCGTGTGCAGCCGGCGGGAGATGAAGTAACGGAGGATAGAGGAGTAGCAAAAAATGGCAACGGAAGCCGCACCCATTTTTGGCTGGAGCGATGAGATACTCGCTGCATGTAGTGGTCCCCAGAAAACCCTTGAGAGAGCCGGTTCAAACTCAATCCATGGCAAACATAAACCAGCTCCAAGAGCATCCGATGTCGACGAAACATCTGCCCCTAATTTTAGGCCCGCCTCCCATCAACGTACAAATTGCAGCGCCGTCGGTAGAGGTGGCAAATAGGGATGGCAACAAAACCCGAACTCACGGGTACCCTATCCGACCCAACCCGATCAATGCGTAAAACCCGTGTTGATGGATTTTGGACCGAGTTTGGGTTTAAACCAGTTCAATATTCACCGATTTGGGGTGAATTTGGTTTAGGTAAACTTAATACGACCCTAGGGGGGTTGTATGTGATCAAAGTAACGCAACAAACGACTCAATCGAAGAATCGATTGAGCTCGAATCAAGAACGAAGCGCTATTAATACGAACTTGGATAAAACGGAACCAAAAGGACGATTCCACACCTGGGGAACGCTCGATTGGTACAAAAGGTAGATGCCCGACCACGATCAACGCGTTCTTGATCGATACAAAAGCTCAACGAGCTTGGAATCCACCAAAGCTCACACAAGTACGCAAACTTGCAAAAACCCAAAGGTTTCGATTTCTATTCAACAAAGTCTGAGTTTTACAACGAAATAGAAAGCTTAAATAGGCCTAGCTAGGGTTACACACGTCCCATAAACTCCTAATTACAGTCTAATACGAAAAGGAATCAAAAACTACCAAAACAATGAAATCCTAACTAAACAAGAAAAGGAAAATCTGCCTTTAGCTCCAAGTAACCAAACAGCTTTGATGCCATCTTTGAGCCTCTCGATCAAAGCCTTCCAAGTTGATTCGAACTCAACCAATTCCTTTCCTCTGTAGAAGAAAACTCCCTATTTCACCTCCAACTTGAAACAGCCCGAGATCATTCTCCAAACTCCAGATATAGGCCTTCAAAGTTGGTATCTCAACACAGTTTTCTGCCTTAGATATTTTCTGGCAGTTTTCCAGTTTTGAGGTAACAACTTTGAGACTTTGGAAAACAACCTTAATGACTTCTTATTGAGCAACCAAGCATACCAAGGTGTAGATAATTACTCCATGTTCAATACAAGCCATTAAACTTGAATTTCCATTGAGCCAATTGAGAGAAACTTGCTTCCAAAATTGGCTACTTGAACACGGAAAATGACACTGACAGAAATGAATGTTCTTCAGGCAGCTTGAGCTTGCTTCTTCGTCAAGTAATTCCAACTTGTAGAGTGGCTTATTTGGGATCATATCAGGCCCTCCCTCTTGAAAAAGTGTTGCCTCAACACTTTGGCCTTTCTTTGCTCAAACCGTTCACAGAATTGATCCCAAATTGGATCAAAAGAAGGCTTCTCAAACATCATTTTCGACGCAAACATTTCAGTTCCATACTCCCCTTCAATCTGTTTTAGAGGGATTGACGCTAAAAGTGTTGTTGGAAATGCTGGCTGGAGTTGTAATAGACCTCTATTGATAACCAATTTTGCCTGAAACTGATCGGAGCAACTCCTAGTTCGTCGGACAGTTACTACGAACTTCAACCCGTTCGACGAAATTGGGGATTTTCGCTTCAAGGACCCCCATTCTAATTCAACGACTAAAAACTCTTCATGGGCTCGAAACAAACCGCCCTCGTTGTTCAATTTCCCTGGAATTCGATACGAACAAGCTCCAGGTCGTCGAACGCCACCTTTGTACATGTTCTTGCTCGAACAAATTGGGGGTCTTCGATTACAGCTTCTCCAATCCAATTCATCGACTACAACGTCTTCTCCATGCATCCAATTGCAATTTTGATCCCTTCTACAGCCTCGATTCATCACCAGTGTCTGCAATTCCTCGAGTTCTCCATTCCCGCCGTCGCCGGAATTCGAATTTTCGCAACCCAGAAAAGCCAAATCGAAATTGGGGGTTTTAATCCCAGGCATCTTCGAGACGAATTGATGCATTCCACACGTTCCTCGTACATCCTTTGGAGATTCTTCATCATTGGTTTGGCTCGATTTGAGCTGGATGGCGCTACCCACGAGAGGGTTCTGGTCGGCAGTGTTCTTCACAAACAGAGGTGATATTTTCAAAATCGATTTTGGATTTTCAGGTTTGTTCTCCTCAATTGAAGCTATGGACATCGTTACTGGGTTCGTATAGAACGTTTCGGCGCAGTTTTCTGATTTCGACTCGTCGCCATCTGTTCCCGCCACACGAGCCTTCGGGCCACTCTGTTTTGCCGGCGAACTCGAACACTCTGCTGCTCGCGTCCCCGGGTTGATTCGAGTGTCCGAAGCTAGCTTCGAGACTTCTCCTCTCTGTCCATCCCTTCCTGCAGACTCCAGGGACTCGTCTCCGGCTGCGTCGTGCTCCTGTTCTTCTTCCTTACCATCGGCAAGACTGCAGTAGTTGACACTCTGTTTTAATACAGAAAAACCGGGGTCGTTGCAGGTGGGCGGTTCTGGCGCTGGAAGTGCCTTCGGAAGCTTTCGAAAACTCAGAAAGCTAAACCCAATTCGTCGTTTAACCCACAAGTGAGACAGAGACTCCTTTCCCTCGTTCTGAATTGAGTCCAATTGCTTCAAATCACCATATACTTCATCCGGAGAGAGAGAGGTTTCAGCTTGATCTTCCTACCTTTGTATCTGAATGTGTAGGAATTCTCCCAACCATTATGGGTAACCCCTCTTTCGAATTGCCAAGGTCGACCCAGTATTAGGTGAACATAATTCATCGACACAACATCACAGATTACCTCATCTTCGTAGCTGCCGAGTTGAAAACGAACCACCGCTTGCTTCGTCACATTAATTGTTCCATGCTCGTTGATCCAATTGATTTGGTGAGGCGCTGGATGCCTTTGTGTCGTCAATCCAAGCTTTTCAACGGCTTCTAGGCTGATGACGTTTGAGCAACAGCCTCCATTGATCACAAGTGAAAGTAATTTTCCGTTGACAAAGCATCGACTGTGAAATAAAAGGTCTCGCTGCTCGTCGGATTCTCGATGCTGAACTGGAGCTGCTGGCTGCTTCTCTTCACCACGAATTTTCAGATTCCTTGCCTCTCTTCTGCCTTCTTCCATCACGTTACCCTTGGAAAAATTGAAGCACCAAATTGACACCAAAAAACACAAACAGGGGCTGCTCAAAACAGGGGCTCGACTTCCCTGTTTTTGTCGAACTTCTAGCACAAAATCTGCCTTCAAACTGTCTCCTCCGCCTCTGGTTTTGAACCGGAGGCTCTGATACCACTTAATACGACCCTAGGGGGGTTGTATGTGATCAAAGTAACGCAGCAAACGACTCAATCGAAGAATCGATTGAGCTCGAATCAAGAACGAAGCGCTCTTAATACGAACTTGGATAAAACGGAACCAAAAGGACGATTCCACACCTGGGGAACGCTCGATTGGTATAAAAGGTAGATGCCCGACCACGATCAACGTGTTCTTGATCGATACAAGAGCTCAACGAGCTTGGAATCCACCAAAGCTCACACAAGTACGCAAACTTGCAAAAACCCAAAGGTTTCGATTTCTATTCAACAAAGTCTGAGTTTTACAACGAAATAGAAAGCTTAAATAGGCCTAGCTAGGGTTACACACGTCCCATAAACTCCTAATTATAGTCTAATACGAAAAGGAATCAAAAACTACCAAAACAATGAAATCCTAACTAAACAAGAAAAGGAAAATCTGCCTTTAGCTCCAAGTAACCAAACAGCTTTGATGCCATCTTTGAGCCTCTCGATCAAAGCCTTCCAAGTTGATTCGAACTCAACCAATTCCTTTCCTCTGTAGAAGAAAACTCCCTCTTTCACCTCCAACTTGAAACAGCCCGAGATCATTCTCCAAACTCCAGATATAGGCCTTCAAATTTGGTATCTCAACACAGTTTTCTGCCTTAGATATTTTCTTGCAGTTTTCCAGTTTTGAGGTAACAACTTTGAGGATTTGAAAAACAACCTTAATGACTTCTTCTTGAGCAACCAAGCATACCAAGGTGTAGATAATTACTCCATGTTCAATACAAGCCATTAAACTTGAATTTCCATTGAGCCAATTGAGAGAAACTTGACTCCAAAATTGGCTACTTGAACACGGAAAATGACACTGACAGAAATGAATGTTCTTCAGGCAGCTTGAGCTTGCTTCTTCGTCAAGTAATTCCAGCTTGTAGAGTGGTTTATTTGGGATCATATCAAAACTCGTCTCATGGGTACCTGCCCACGCCTATATAATTAATTTTACAGATATATTTAATATTCTAAACAACTAATCTTCTTTATGTTTGTGGAGACATGTCTAATTTTTCTTTCAAATGTGAAATGAAGTTGATATTATAGAGTGGAGATTGAAGAAGTTTAATTGACAAGGAGGAAGAAGTTTTCAATTAATCATGTT